CATTATACAAGATTTTGATTTTAAACCAGGACAGCTAGTCCAAATGAGACATTCAGGAATAGAGAAAAGTTTGGACTGTAAGATGCACCTCAAGTATAGGGTGCCTCTTATTGTTATTTGGTGAACGTGTGGTGGAAACTACATTGTTGCTGAGATGAATGGCACTGTGTATAAAGAGAAGGTAGCTGCTTGGAGATTATTACCTCATTACAAGTGTTATGAACCAATTGAGCTTCCTGAAGATATTCACAAGTTGATTGACCTGACTCCAGAACAATTGGAGCACATAATGAATGAGGAACTTGATTCAGACTTAGTTTTTGATAATATGCCAGCTTTGCAATGACCAGTAGAGGATTCTGAGGTCAACAATTGGTTGGATATGGAAGAATCTGAGCTTGACAACTTGGATTCAGACAATGAAGAAAATGAACAAGTTCGCATGATGCGCTCTCATTCCAAATAACATGATCTACAATGGGAGTGTAACTAAAGTAAATACTAAGGTACACTACTCCATATTGTGTGGTTTCCTAAAATAAGTGATACCATAACTGATATGTGAACTGTTGGAAAGAATGACTGCGGAATGAATAGTCATTGACAGGTGAAGGAATAACTGCCTAGTTGCCACTGGTGTCCATCTTCTTGTCGACAGGAAGACTCGCCAAAGTCTCAGGAGGCAGAGGGGTGGGCAAGTTGAGGTTGAGTTTGTCCAGCTTGTAACCAAGGGAAGACATCTTGTCCCTCTGCTCACAGTGCAACAGAAGGGCATGAAGTGCTTCATCATGGAAATGCTTGGTCATGCCTCAGAAGTAGACAAAGTCAGTGCAGTATCAATTCAACAGAGCCCACTGCAAGTCTTTGAGTTTGGGGTCAATGGGTGGATATCCTTCAAGGTCATTGAGATATTCATTGAGATGAATGTCCCACATCTCATCAAGGTTGGCTTTTTTAATGAAGTCAAAGTCAGTATAAAATTCAACAACTATGAGAAAACAAACAAGAGTGGATCATTAAGGAAACTGTTGGCCAGGGTTTCTTCCCCTATCATGAAGTAGAGAGTGGAGCATAGCAAGTCTTTGTACATCACTGAGGGATGGCAAGCCTGGAGGAGAAGGTTCAATGATGACAATGTGTTGGATCTCAAGCAGTTGGACAGGGGCATCAGATGGTTTGCAGAAATCTGCTTCGGAATCATCAGCAGAACTGAGAGGTTCACTGAATATGTTGGGACAGAAGACAAAAGGAACCAGGTTTCCAAGTAGTGCAAGGAGTTCACTGAGTCATTCAGGGAAGTCATTGAGGGTGACATAGGTATCCTCAAGAAATCCTCTTTGTAACAGGAATAAGGCCAACTTGATGTCCTCAGGATCATAAAGCCTTGCCAAATGTTGCTGTATGTGACAGGGAAGGTGATCATAGCAACTGATAGGAGATGACATTTCTGAACAAACAAGGGACCTAGGAACCTGTTTGGTGACAAATTAAGGAATGTGTTACTGAGAATATTGTACAGGTCTTTCATTGAAACCTTGATACAGGTTGATGAAACAGTGCCAAGGCTCCATTCTATGAACTGGAATAATCACAGGAGGGCAGCTAGACTTGGACCTTTCAAAGACAGGGCTTTCCAAGTACAGTTCAGTGAAGTTGGGATGCTAGATAACAAAGTAGTGAGGAACTTCAATGCCTTCAAAGCTTGTCTCAAAGGGTTGAAGGAGGTCTTCAGGACACATGGGGACTCACCAGTCAAGATATGAAAGATGGTAATTGGAGAATTGGGATCATAAAAGTGACAACTGGTTGACACAATTACAAATTGTGTCTCTGGAATGAAATGACTTGTTGCAATAATGAAAGCTGCTCTGAAGCAGGGCACCCATGCTGGAAACACCTCCCATAAGCTTCAATTGGTTCCACATCCACTCATTGAGGGAAAATGAAGCAATAAGCTGCTTAAAGTTGGGAAGGGTTCTGTTAAACAATCTCCGTTTGTATTCCTCACAAATATTGAGACTGATTTGCTGTATGGCAACCTGAGAAATATCTAGAATCCAATGTGGATGGACTAACCAGTCTGTATTCCCAATAGCAGGATTTAATGACTTGAGAAGCAGATCTTGATAAGTGAAGAAATTGTTGGAGTCATTGGAGTAGCAAAAATCTGCTGGAGAGAATCTTTCTTCTTCGGCAAGTTTTTCAGTAAGGAGACTGACAAGTTCACTGGCTCGGCAAAGCCCTTCTTCATGATCTAGATCTGTCCAACCAGCTAGTTGCTCAGTTTCAAGGTTGTATAATTTGGAAGAAACCTGACTGTAGCAACCTTGTTGATACCATGTACACTCTGCCATTGAAAAAGAGCAGAATGGACATTCATTGTGACTGGGAAGCCAGTTGCTGGGAAAGGCAAGGTTGATAAGGGGAATGATAGAGAAAGGGAGTTCGGTGAGATACCACCTGTTCTGCTGCATGATAAGCATGGCAAGGTGCTCTGAACCCTCCTGGACACATTTTGCAAGAGAGAATGAACCAATGAAATCCAGGAATGATGGAAATGGCATTCATGTAACAAGATGGTCAATGCAATAGTCATAGACTGCTGCCTCCCACCAATCATCCTGGTCAAAGAGACATAAAAGGGACCCACCATTGGTTTCAGGATGATGAAAGTTCCAAATGTCATCATTGTGATGAGGCCTCTTGAGACTGGCTCACTCATTAGCACCGGCCTGTCCCTATGAATGGAAATTAGAAGTTCATTGAAGAAATGAGTGATGAACTTACATTGGGACAATTAGGACCTTCGTAAGGACAGTCTTGATTCTGAAACAAGGTTAGTGTTAATCTGGGAAAAAAGCTTAATGTGCTCAGTGCACCTGTTTCTTCTTGAAAGAAAGCATGGATTGCTTGAGTTGCACCGCTTCCCCTGACTAGTACCTTTGTTGAGATAATGATTCAGCAATAGAGGCAAAGGCAGACCTTGTCAGTATCTGTACTTTTGGAATGACCGACAACTTCAGGATCAGAATCAGCCTCCTCATGGGTGGTTTTGGACTTGGATTTGTGGTCAACCTTTGAAGGTGTTACAAAGTCTTTTGAAGGATGAGCTGGTCAACAAACCTTTTTGCACTGCTCAGCGGCCTGAGCTGCACTGAGGTGACAATCTTGAAGGGACTGATAGAAGGTGGCACATTTGTCATAGTGATGAACCCCTCCTTTGTCATATACAGGCTTTGCCAGCACAAGGCAACAGTCATAGGCATCAAGGTAGTCCTTTCTTTTGGTAACATCAGGAAAAATGGTCTGAGCCTCGGGTTATCTAGGAGGCAACCTGGAGCAACCTGAGGGACCTGGGTGACCTAGGTGACCTGTGCAACCTGGGTGAACCTCAGGTAACCTAGGAAATGCCAATATCCTGGGCAAACCTCAGGTATCCCAAGGATACCTGAGGAGTGATGCTGTAAATATTACCAAATAAGGCACAATTATATTGAATATATATGCCTATGCTTTAATCTATCCTAAATGCATGACAAGGACACCTTCTGAGTTGTAGATAACTCATAGAAACTGAAATTTGACATAAGTCACATGATGCAACTCCATGAGCTGTCTACAATTAAAATAATTTTCATATGGTCAAAACAAGTATATCACAATTATACCATACTGTATACACACTATATATACATGTATAAGCTCTTTACTGTACTGAAATACTGTACTTGAGTATACTAGGTTAATACTAGTGTACTGTAATACATTATAAAGTATAATACCTGATGAAAATATACACCATATATACTATACATAAAATATGTACAAGTTCAATACTACTACTACTATACAAGTACAATAGCTCACTATATACAGTAGAATAGAGTACAAACAGTAATATATAAAGATATATTATTTTTACTTATTAACCCTTTATGCAACCTGGGGCAACCTCAGGTAACCTGAGCCAACCTGAGCCAACCTGGGGCAACCTGGGGCAACCTGAGATAACCTAGGACAACCTAGGGCACCCTAGGATATAGGGGTTGGACTGTGGAAACATAGGTAACCTAAGTACTTGAAGTGTCCTATGCTTCTTAGGTTGCTTGAGGTTGTTATAATTTAACCCCAAGCTCAAGCTATTTTTCCTGATGAAGGTCTTTGGCAACTGGCTTAGTCTATGAAGAAACATTTAGAATGGGATAATAATGGAAGAGAGAAGACTTCACCAATGTGGTCAACAGCAGGTCTACATTTGTCCTCAGTGAAATCTGCATTGACGAGGTTTTGCACCATGTCTTGCGCCTTCTTAAGGGCTGCAAGATGGGCTTTGTACTTGCTTTGAGCAGTAATGACAGATGGAGCAGACATGTCAAAGATAGAAAGAGGTTGGGAGATGTGACCAAAGTATAGGTGAGCAAGGTGAAGTTGAAGACTACAATCTTTACTGTCTGAAAACTCGGTACTTATACTTCGCTGAGCCTTGTCTCTGGGTATGGTTGGCTGTTTGTTGAGGCAGATAATTTGTTGCCAAAACATGCCATTGGGTTGTTGAAGTTTTGGACATCTGAAAATTTGATGTCAGCTTAAAACTTTCTGTCATTGCAGCAGGTGGTTTCTGTTGAGCCGCTAGCCAAGCTTGACAATGAAGTTGCTTCCATGCCATGAAACACTTTGTCGATGAATCATATCCATGATGATTGTTGTACTCCGCCTCCATAGTGACAACAACTGAGGACAGTTGTTATTTTTAGTTTGGGGGAGAGAGAAGCAGGCAAAACTATGAGTCAGCAAAGCAGAATATCAGCAAACAGAATAGTGGATCAAAAAGAAAATTTTGAAATAAGTGGATCATGAAACTTCTAATGATTTTTGAGGCTCCCTCAAGGGTCAATTATATCCCATAGAAAGTTAGCAGCCATGAAAATGACAAATCAAATGTGCATATATGCACAAGAAATTTCAGAAAAATCCTGCAAAAATATCAGGGACCATAGTAGTGGCCTAGCTGAGATTTGAACCCAGGTCTCTTTAAAGAGTTCTATACAAGTTAGAGAGCTGTCTGAAGCATCTTAACCATTAGACTACCAGGCCTTAGAAACCAAAAGAAAGACATCAATTTTGAGGGTGGATTATAAGCACCTGAGGCACTAAAACTACAGTGAACTTGTACCATCAGTCTATCAGTCAGATTGAATTCACAATTGATTATCAATAACTGGCTGACAGTACACAGGTAATTTTGTTGACTTAACACTGAAAGATAAAAATGAAAGTATTTGGCAAAAGCTGGAATGATGAATTTTCAGTGGTTCAAACTACATAACTAATACTTTACAAAAAGACAATTGGAGTATTTAGGAGTGTTTGGCAGAACCAGCATTAGAATTGATAGAGGAAGCATTGACATTGGATTCAGGCTCTTTGGAGTCCTCCCAGTCCAAAATTATGGTCAACACATTAATCTGTTCCTTACTACCAGTGAAGTGAGGGTTGTGATCCTTCATGAGCTTAAGGATATACTCTTTGTTGGCAAATGAGGACTTGACCTGTTGCAGATAATGACCATGTCAGCAAATGTCCTCGGTGTAATCCTGCCAAGTAGCTTCTAGGTTAATGGCTTGCCTTTGGAGACTTGCCGCAGCAGCAGCAAGCTTGCTGATCTGAGCAAGTACCTTGGCTGTAAAGAGAAACAAAGTCAGCAAAGACTGGAAGTCAATAAGAGAGACTTACCATCATGCTTATCAATGTTTTGAGAAGGAACTTTAAAACCTGGAGGACATGTCAGAATGGTGAAAGAACAATGCTGGCCGTCGAGTTCACAAGAATAACATTTCAATGAAGCTCCTGGGAAGTTGCCGTTGCAGTCCTTGCAGTGGATGATACACTGGTTGCAACTGATGCTGAAAGTGTTCATCTGTTAAGTTCGACTTGGAAGGAAAGGATTAGAAATGTTGTCAAAGAAAACTAAAGACAAGCTTACAGAGAGGTCTGAAAGCTATATGAGAGAAGGGTGTGAACCTGAGAAAAGGCATCAAGGTTGAAAGGGTTTTTATATCCTCTGAAAAACCAGGATGTACATAAAGAAAAGGTGAAATGCCAAACAGGAAGTTCAAGGCTTCTATTATGTAGGGATCTGCACTATCAGATTGATCTCAACACTTCCTGAAGAAATCAGGAACAATTACATGCTAAGCAATCTGAAGTCGCTGACTCAACAAAGAGTTTTTTTCAAACTTAAGATATTCTTAACCCTGAGATTAGACAAAACATTATATTGTGTACAATACTGCTGAATAAAAGTACACAAGTATGAAGTCCAAGAAAGTACACTAGGTACTGAGATTTTTTTAGAACCTTTGAAAAGGTTCAGTGAGAGTTCTATACTATGATGCTAATCCAAAGCTAAAAGTATAGTAAAGAAATAGGTATCCCCATTGAAAGGGGGCACAAAATTGTACAATAAAGCAAAAGTATAAAAAGAAACAATGAGCGATCACAAAATCTGAGGACAGCCAACAAATGAGAACCCCTGTTGGATGTCAGTGAAGAGAAGATGGAGGAAGAAAGTAAAACTTACTAGAGTTTTCCTCAGTGAGAACCAGAGGAAGGTGCACAAGCAGATGACTTGAACTTCTTAACAGAAGCTTGGGTAGGAGTCTCATGGCCTTTGACATCTGATTCCTTGATGAAGGCAGGACTAGTAAAGTTCTTCCTCTTGCGGTGAATTGATGATTTCAGCTGAGGAGTTGGAACTTGAGGAGGAGGGATGTTGACCTGGTCCTCATCATCCTCATCACTTGAGTCATCCATTTCAACATCAGGGTCAGCAACTGGAGCCTTGGTGTCAGGAATGTTGTTGTCATCTTCATTGTTGGAGTCATCTTGGGGTTGAGGTGTGGCTGGCTTGGGTGCCTCATCACCACTGTCAGATCTGGAATCCTCCTTGACACTTTCCTCTTTGTTGACTATGAAGCCCTCAGTGACTTCCATTTCATCATCCTCTTCACCATCATCCTCAGAAGCTTCATCATCAATGAGAGCAGATGGGTCAGTAACAAATGTCCCATTGCTGAACTTGAGCTTCTCAGGTGCTACAATGAAAAGATTAATGGAGAAGAAGTGAAGAGGAGAAAAGACCACTTACTCATATACTCCAATGGATGAGAGGCAGGGTTGGAAGGAGTGAAAGTGACCTTTTGAGAGGCAGACTTGGAGGATTTGTCAAACTCAAAAATGCTGGTCCACCCAAAAAGCTCGGCGATCTCAGTGATCTCCTTGTCGCTTCCAGAGAAGTTGTTGGGGTTGCTGTCTTTGAGATACTTGTAAATTTTGGCCAGATCACTGCAGGTTGTTCGCACTTGATCCAAAGTCCATTTGTGAATTTGAAGGGCATTGTTGTAGTCCAGCATTTGCTGATGAATTGTCACCGCCTGCTGGTAGAGCTGGTGGGTGCTGCTAATGACATGTGCAATGGCCATAGTGATACCTAAAGGAAATCCATAAGAATGAATATCAATGAAATAATATAGTACTTACTAGACTCGCTCTGGCTGCTCAGAACAGAAGCAGCATCACTAATCTTGGTCAAAAGATTGGGGGTGGCAGTGAACAAACAAGTTTGACAGCTCATTTGACAGCAATTGCACTTCTTGGATCCACCAGGGTGGCTACCTTTGCAGGCAGTATTGTCAGCATTGCAGCAAAAACACTGAATTGAGAGTAACTGTTCAAGGAAAAGGTCAGCAAAGTCACAATTGAAAGAGTATATCATACCTGAACTGGGGGAGCAAAACCTTGATGAACATGATCCATAGACATGTGGAATTTCTTTCCAGCATGATCATTGAGAGAACCTATGCCAGGGACAACAGACTTACAACAAGTCAGAAGGGGAAGTTGTCAAGATATGGGCAAAGGTACTTACCAATTAAACCTCATGCTTGTCAGCCAGGACACGAGCAGCTTTCTTCAACACCCCTCCTTTCTTATCCTTTGGCTATGGAAAGAGAATTGATAACAAAATAATTGAGAAAATAGAATAGAATGAACCTTTGAAGGGGCCTTGATGATGGACTCTTCAGGGTCAGAAACCCGCAATTCTTTGGGGACCTATCCTTACCCTTCATCTTCCCCTTCTTCTCCTCAGCAAGGACCTTCTTGTGAGAATCAGCCTTGGGAGGTGGTGAAGGTGGAGTTGGTGCTTTGGGAGGAGAAGGTGACAGCAAAGGAGACTTGATACTAAACTCTGCTGGGACCGGCAGGTTTGGAAAGCAACAGAAGGAGTCAGTGTAATCATAAATATGGTTTTCAGGGACAACTCCCTTCAGAAAGGAAGGAATCTCCAGTGGGGTGTGAATAGATGGAAGTGTCTAGATAGTAAGATGTGAAAATGAAGAAATAAAAATAGGGGCAAATATGTACCTTATGATCATACTCTGTGGCTTGATATAATAGGTTCAGATCTATGAACCAAGCTGCAGTCATAGCCTTAAGGGCATTGGCATCAAGACAGATTCTGGCAGCATGTTGGAATTGAAGCCAACAAGTGGCAACAAATGAGGGAATAGCCTTGTCCAGGAAAATGGTTTGGAGATTGATCTGAAAACAAGTTAGAAAAAGAACTCAATGAAGAAAGAGGAAGACATACCAATTCTACCATAGATTGAGAAAATACAGTCATCCCGTCCTTCGGCAATGGTCTAATTCCAGGAGCATCAGTGCCCTGGGCTCTCCACTGCATATATCCAAAGAGGCATTGGAGAGGTTCAAGATGATTCCATAAATAAGCCTGGGTGTCAAGAGGAACTGAAGGGACAGCCATCAGTAACTCAGAGAGCCTGCATTGGTGGTACCAGAGAAATGACATATAAGAAAGTTGTTGTTCCTGTGCCTCAGCAAGGGCAGAAACATGGCTGGCAGACACAGTTTTTGAAGAACAGGCAGCAGACCCCTCCAGAGTTGAGCTGTTGGGAGTACCGGCAACCACCATTCCAGTTACTGAGGTCAGCGAAAGACCCTTCAGCAGTAACACAGTGGAAGAAGTTTTGGACTTGATGCATTTGGCCTTCTTCTCCTTCTTTGTCAATGAAGAAGGGACCTTCAATGAAGCAGGTGAGAAATGGGCAGCGGCTGAGGCTGAGGCAGTCTTGTCAGATTTAGCCATGAGTGAGAAAGGAGGAGTGGTTGGAGGGGAACTTGGAAAAATTCAAAGTTCCCCGAGGACTTAAATATGTTCTCCATCACAAAAATTGGCCTGAAAAATTTTATTTGAATATTTTGAGAGTTCCCTGCCCTATTTTTCTCATTGGATGAGTAGTGGCAGGACCCTGCAGAAAGAAGCTTGAGGTGTATCTGCTGGTGACAAGAAGCAAGGGTGTAGCGCCCACCAGGAACAGGAGGTGATGAGCTGGTGTGCCAACTCACCAACTTGATGAAGCAATCTACCTAAAGAGAGCAATGTTGAGTTTCCAAAATCTGACAAGGAGTGACTCAAAGTGCCTGCAGGTATGAAAATTACCCTTTTGGGTGAGAAAGAACTGTGCAGAATGTGATAGAACTGTTGTAAAATACATCCAATTTTGGTGGATCTGCATTCCTGACAAAAGCTGAAGCAGGGCTGGGCTTCTTTCACTGATAGAAACAGCATGAGGAATGATTCTGGATTGTATGGTGGAGATTAGCCTTCCCAATTGGGAAAATAAGCACTGGCTCCCCAGAAGTGATGTGAGAATACTAATTTGACATGGTAACAATGGAGAATGCATAGCTGAACTGAGTTTGATCTCAACATAATGTTGGCAAAGCAAAGTCAGAAACTGATTGGGACCTTGGAGTGATGTAGATGCAAATCAATGACTGATCCATCAAGAGAATACATCCTTGAGAAAAGCTGAGAAGTTAAAGCTTCATGATAATGCTTCCATGAAGGAGTCAAGAATAGCATGTAGTCAAACTGTCCTTTGCTGAAACTAGAGATACCTCCAAGAAGAGGTGTTAGTCAACAAACTGCCTCAACTGAGGACAGTTGAATCTTTAGTTTGGGGGAGATGATAAGCCAATTTCCAGCTACAGTTCAAATCTAAACAAAACAC